CACCTACTTGGCTTCAAGTCAGTAGTCCTGACCAAACTTACGAGGAGGATGATAAATAAATAGTCGAGGTGAGTAATGCCTATTTTGAGAAATAGATTAAAAATTAAATTTTAATTTTTTTTTAAAATATATAAAAAAGTAAAAAATTGGTATTATTTAAAAAAAAATTAAAAAGTTAAGAAATTAATTTTTAATTAACTTGTCAAAATAAGTCTGGTAGACAAGGTTATGGTGAACAAGCGAGATGCTAGACATGAGCTGTTTTGACAATATGCATAAAAAGTTAAAAGTCAGTTTTTAATCTATTTTAAGATAACACCTCTCACATAAAATAGTGAAAAAAGTCAAAAAAAATAAAATAAAATTAAAATTAAAAATTAATTTTTAAGTATCTTTTCAAAATAATTCGGAGTACATAGACCTTTTGGGACATTGGGAAACAGAAAGGGGACAAATGTCTAATGTCTTTTATCAGAACAACAATGATTCATCCCCTTTTCCCCCCACCCCCTTTGACCCCCTCTCTCTCTCATTGGTTACATTTTCTTTTTCTTTTTCTTTTTTTTCCTGCTCCTCCAATCACCACTCGCCACGTGACAAAAGGGGGTGAGGAGTGACCCCAAAAGAGGGTCTCAAGCATTATTCTTATCAGAAATATCTCTCGGATTCTTCCAAAATATACACAGAGCCATCGTTTAATGTATTCAGAAGAAGCAAATAGTTTGACATTGCTGCGACTGATGATTTGGATGAGCTTGATGCTGGAACTAGTGACCCCCTCTCTAAACACCCAAACAGTAATAATTCTAGTCCCTAAGAAATAGTGACAATTTTTTTTTTAAAATTTATTTATGCTATGATGAAATTTTTTAATCCCGTTTACTATGGCAATTTATAAAATTTTAATTTAAAGTTTTATATTATTTAATGGTTGTTTAAAAATTAATTTTTTTATGTTGTATTTGATTGAGGGATTTAGAAAAAGAAATGAAAAATGTGTAGAAAACTAAGTGAAATATAGATAGCATATTTTATTCATATTTCACTCACATTTTTCATTTCTTTTTCCAAATTTCTCATCAAATATGTGTTTAAAAAATATGTAAAATTTGTGTTAAAAAAATATGTAATAACATTTGGCTAAAAATCAAGGTCATGTTTGATTTATTTTCAAAAATTTGTTTCAAATTTTTTTTTCTAAAAAACTAAAAATTAGTTTCATAAAAAAACTAAAAATTTTAAAAACAATTATCATTTTTATTTAATTTAAAATTTTCAAAAATATATATTTTTTATTTTAGAAAGGAAAAATGTGTGGAAAACTAGGTGAAATATAGATAGCATATTTTATTCATATTTCACTCACATTTTTCATTTATTTTTCCAAATTTCTCATCAAATATGTGTTTAAAAAATATGTGAAATTTGTGTTAAAAAAATATGTAATAACATTTTGGCTAAAAATCAAGGTCATGTTTGGTTTATTTTCAAAAATTTGTTTCAAATTTTTTTTTTCTAAAAAACTAAAAATTAGTTTCATAAAAAAACTAAAAATTTTAAAAACAATTATCATTTTTATTTAATTTAAAATTTTCAAAAATATATATTTTTTATTTTTAATTTTTGTCAAACTAAAAAAAATTAAGAAAAAAATTCAGAGAGGATGAAACCAAACATGGCCCAAAATTCCCAAACAATAATGTGTTCTCTTGCAAGGGGTAAAAATGGAACAGAGGGGAAAAAAGGAGAACCCATTAGGAATGGCAACGGGGCGGGGCGGGGCCGGGGATCACCCTCTCCGTCCCCGATCCCCGATGGTGGAAACTCCTCCCGTCCCCGGTCCCGACCCCGACGGGGAGCTCATCACTGCCCCTGCCCCCGCCCCTTAACAGGGATCGGGTTTCCCCGACCCCGAAAAGTCCCCGACCAAAAAAAAAAAAATTTCAGCTTCAGATCAGATATTCAATAACAGATTTAACAACAGAAGAATTAATATTCAACAACAGATTTAATACTCATGAACAACAACAATAACAGATTTAAGAATAGATTTAACAACAACAACATATTTAACATATATATAAAAAAAATTCAGATCTAACAGATCTGTTGTTCATCACCATTAACAATCTAATGAGCTCAAAAAAAGAAAAAAAGAAAAAGAAAAAAGATCTAACATATATATATATTTTCAGATCAGATCATATATATATTGTTCATCACCAGATCAGATCACACACACACACACACAGATCTAACACTGATCACCGTGGTGGGAGGAGGGAGAAGACGTCGGAGATGGGAGGAGGAAGAAGACGTCGAAGATGGGAGGAGGAAATCGCTGTGATGGGAGGAGGGAGAATCCGCTGCCACCACCATCGATGAGATAGGAGATCGGCGAGATGGGAGGAGGAAGAGGACAGTGGAGAAGCCGCCGTCGCCACTGCCGACGCCGTGACCGTGAGTAGCACCTGCACAGAGAGAGAGAGAGAGAGAGAGAGGAGAAACAGTTTGTGTATGTGTGTGAATGAGTGTGTTTAGCCAAGCCCTAACACATACACATATATTATATATATAAACGGGGGTAAATTAGTAATTTCATGTCGGGGAACCGGGGCGAGGATCGGGGCCGGGGTCGGGCCGGGTCTGGGACTGAAACATACATCCCCGTCCCCGACCCGAATGTCATCGAGGATTAAATTTTTAATACCATCCCCCAGCCCGTCGAGGGTATTTTTCAGTGAATAACCATTCAATTCGGGGTCGGGGGATCGGGTCCCTGTCGGGCCGGGTTCCGATTGCCATCTCTAGAACCCATTGGTCTCCAACAATCAGGGGAGCTTCTATTTGCACACACAACATTCTCTCTATACATATCCTTCTTAATTCACATACTCAGAAAAAAAAAATATATATATATATATATTTACTCATTACACACATTATTATTCCAATTATACGCATATACACAACTTTCCAACACACTCAATCCACCCACCTTCCCTTACCTTTTTCATTCTCCAAACCCTAACCCTAAACCAGCCACCGTCGGCGACACCATGGTTGCTCTGGCAGTTGCTGCTTCCTCCACCCACCATCGCAGCCTATACACCCGTCCAACCTCTCTGCCGACCATCCCTCGTCCCTACTACTACCACCATCGTAGCGACGACCCACCATCGCGACACACCCGCTGTTCGATAAACCATGGTCGAAAATCACACGTCAATTCGACCATCAACATCCGAACAAAACACATCAGTTCGACTTTCAACATTCGAACAAAACACATCGGTTCGACACTGTACTTCCGAATCAATGTGTTTGGTTCGAAGGCAGCCGTAGAGAGAAAGAGAGTTGCAGATGACAGGGAGGGGGCTTCGACGGGAGAAAAGAGGGACTAGGAGTGTGAGCGACGAGCGATGGGGTAAGGAGAGGCTTCGATTTGAGAAGAGGGGACTGGTGAGAGAGGCGACAGAGGGGGTGATTAGGGTTAGGGTTTTGGTTGAAGAAGAAATGGATATTTTAGTAATTTTATTTTAGGACAAAAATGTAATAAAAAAAATATTATTAAGTGTGTGAGAAGAGGGGAAATGGTGTGTGCCAATAGAAGCTCCCAACAACCAAAGACCGAACCATCGGCTCATCTGGGTTCGAACCAGGTCCATATGAGTATCTCCCATTTCTCCTCTCTCCCTCCAGACCTCACTTTGTTGGAGAACCTTCAAATCTCGAGCCTTTTCCCATATTAAGCCAAATTTCTATCTTAATTTTCAAACTAGGCCTAGTTTGGACGGATTTTCCAAATTAGGCTAAAGCGCTATTACAAATCGCACTTTTACTGTTTGAAGTAGAAAATTTGATGAATAGTGAAAGCGCTATTACAAAAAGCGCTTTTAATTAAGAAAACGTTATTACAAAAAGCGTTTTCACTGTACATATGAAAAAATACTATTACAAAAAGTGCTTTCACTATGCATATCCTTCAGAAAACGTTTAAAATATATTAAAATGTAATCAAACTTAATCTTGAGTTCTTTGCAGCTCAAATGGTAGTGCATTTTTTTTGCCACACCTCTGCACAGGATCAAACCACATGCACACCAACTCCAAACAATTGCTATCTAAAATGAAATTCAAATTTTTTTTTTCCTTCCACTCACTCTATATTTTATATATTTATTATGTAATTTTTTTATCAAAAAAAAAAAATGTTTGTTTGGTTAAATATTTTAAAAAATTAAAAATTAAAAATAAACATTTTATTTATTTAAAAAATTAAATAAACAATTTATTTATTTTTAAAGAATTATATAAAGTAGTATACTATTTATACTATCATCACATTACACGTATAAATAGTATACTCACTTAGACGTATTATACTATCATCACATCGCACGTATACTACTTTTTATATTTTTAATAAATTGTTTATTTTTATTATTACCCATTACTTTTAAAATATGTTTATTTTTAAATATTTTAAAAAATTGAAAAATGTACGCTTTTAAAATGTACGCTTTTAAAATATTTAACCAAACAAACATTTTTTTTTTGACAAAAAAATTACATAATAAATATATAAAATATAGAGTGAGTGGAAGGAAAAAAAAAAAAAAAGGTTGAATTTCATTTTAGATAGCAATTGTTTGGAGTTGGTGTGCATGTGATTTGAAATTGTGCAGAGGTGTGGCAAAACCAATGCACTACCATTTAAGCTGCAAAGAACTCAAAATTAAGTTTGATTACATTTTAATATATTTAAAACGTTTTCTGAAAGATATGCATAGTAAAAGTACTTTTTGTAATAGCGTTTTTTCATATGCACAGTAAAAACACTTTTTGTAATAACGTTTTTTTAATTAAAAACACTTTTTATAATAGTACTTTCACTATTCATCAAATTTTCTTCTTCAAACAGTAAAAGCACAATTTATAATAACGCTTTAACCTAATTGTAAAAATCCGCCTAAACTAGACCTAATTTTCAAATTAAGATAGAAATTCCTCGAATCCCGGTTGTCTCTGTCATGACTATGACCACATTGTTCCCGACTCTAACCCAAGAAGCTTCCCTTACAGTGTGAAGCAACAATGCTGGCAAAAAGCCGAAAAGGTCAAAGGCCGAGACCCAGATCGATGGAGCCCAGACGCTCTCGGCAACACTGTGTTCCGGAAGCTCGTGGGCTGTCCCGGTTGTCTCTGTCATGACTATGACCACATTGTTCCTTACTGTAAGGTACTTCAATGTCGATCTTTGATTTTTTTGCTGGTTTGTGGGTATGGCTTGTTTGTTGCTGAATGCAATATTATCAATTGGGTTAGTGTCATTCTGGCTAATTGAATTTGGGGTTTGTTGGGTTTTAAACGTAGTTCTAAGTTATTGTTTTGCTTATTTTTGACAGTTTTGTTGTGTTTCCTTATTGTGAATATTTTTTTCTCGCTTGTTCAGCTGGGGTTTTGGGATTCGGGTTTGTTTTAATTTAAACTACTATTCTATTTGATAGAGAATGCTCCCCGCTTTTTCCCCGTGGTTATTGTTAGTTTATAACTTAAGCTAATGTGATCCGAATGGAAACCGGTTGTCCAAACTCGTAACCTTAAAGTCTGATTTGATGGGCAAAATGATCAGTCTAAAATTTGAACAATTTTAACTATACATCTAAAAACTATTTGTTTTTGTTCACTATTTTGAAATGAGGGAGTGGAAAAGAAGAAGAATGTTTGGTTGTGTTACAATTAATGTATATATATTGATGTTATTGATGCTATAAATATAATGTGAAGGTACCTCTCCTTTTATAGAGGGGAGAGTGTTACAAAGGGGCCAAAAGAGCCGAAAGAAGAAAACATAATTATTAAACACTTTACATATTATATTCTAACATATTATATTCTAACAGCCCCCCTCAAACTCAAGGAAGATAGAAACCAACCAACTTGAGTTTGGAAAGAGTAACAAAACAGGAAAATAAAATAGGATAGGAGACACTGTATGGTCGTGTCAGACCGTTGTAGCAGACACTGTGTGGTCGTGTCAGACCGTTGTAGAAGACAGTTTATGGGGTCATGTCGGACCGTTGTAGAAGACAGTTTACGGGGTCATGTTGGACCGTTGTAGCATGACAGTTTATGAGGTCATGTCGGACCATTGTAGAAGACAGTTTACGGGGTCATGTCGGACCGATGTAGCAGACACTGTGTGGTCGTGTCAGACCGTTGTTGTAGAAGCTAACCGGAATAAATGTCGGGACAGTTTACGGGGTCATGTCGGACCGATGTAGAGGGGAAAAGCACATTGGAAAACTGTCAAGTTTTACAGGTATGCCTTTTATTGCTTTGTACGATTATTGCATTTCTGTGAGATCTGATTGTGCTTATCAGAAAAATAAAAAAAATTAAGTTTTCTACCTGGTTTTATTGTGCGTTGCCATAGCATGTTTTCTCTTTTGTTTTTTCTATTATGGCATTCATTTACTGTAGTTACTGAATGTGGGCATTTTCTCCTGGCATACAAGGCTGCCACCTTTTTTTTTTCACCCTATGTTATTCCAGTTCGCTTCATTGAACTAATAATAAATAACCAAATTCACTATCAATAATACTTCTATACATTATGCGTTTAAAAATTGGGAATTTGGGATGATTGACTACAACATAAATAAATAAAGAAAAAAGAAAGTTTATTACAACTGAAATGAAGCTGCCTTAAATTTCCTGTAGGCCATAGTAGGGGATTTGTTGGATGACAACAACAATCTTATACATTTAGCATGGGTGTTCTTATTGGCATTTCAGTTCTAGAATTTTCTGCAGCCAACACTTAACTTCAAAAGTCCTATGTGGATTACAGAAAACTAAAAATTTAGTGCCAATAGGGCTGCCTATTAAACTTTGCTTACACTGTGTTTGGTTGAGGGATTTGGAAAGGAATTTGAAAAAGGAAAGGGAAAAAGTGTGTGAAACTAGGTGAAATATAGGTATATTTTATTCACATTTCACCTACCTTTTCCTTTATCTTTTCCTTTTCCAAATCCCTTCTCAAATCTCTAGCCAAACACAGCGTTACTGTATGCTGTATTCTTTCCTTTACAAGAACAAATTTGGTAAGACTTATTGCATGGGGGTTGCCCTGAAAACACATAATGCTGTCTGGTTTGGAGTAACCTGCAAGTTGGACAGAAACTGTTATGCTGTGTTTGGTTGGGGGATTTGGGGAGGGATTTGGAAAGGGAAAGGAAAAAGGTGTGTGAGACTATGTGAAATATAGACATGTTTTATTCATATTTCACATACTTTTTCCATTTTCCTTTCCAAATCCCTCTCTAAATTTCCCAACCAAACACAGCATTAGGATTATTAAAGGGGGCATGTATTCCCATTACAATAGAGGCTGGATAAAGACAAATTTTCCCTTCGCCTGTCAAAATAAAGGGCTTACCCTCCTTCAAACACACACTCCCGCACACACACCTGTGATTCTTTTGAGATTTTTGGATGACATGTGTTTGGAGCAGGTCTCAATGTGTCTGAGTAAAACCCAAACACTCCCACCCACCTAAAGAAAAAGGGGGGAAGGGAGAGAGTTTTATCTATCCACAAAAATAATGTGAGAGTGAATTTTATAAGTCTGCAAAAATAATTTTCATGACATTTCCCAGAGAATGTAACGGGTTGTTGAAAGCCAGGAAGCTTATTATTTTCAGAGCAGGTTTCAAGACTTCTGTTTTATAATTTCACCTAAAATATGAAAGTTTATTGTTGAAGGCCAGGAAGCCTGCATTAACATGGATTTTGATCCTCTCAATTCCATCAAAACTTTCTGATTTCTAAACTACTTTCAGAGTTCAGTTCGATGTCTTTGTGATTGACATTAGAAGATTTATTTAGAACTGTTGATAAGAAAATTTCTTCTTGGCTTCCTAAAAAATTTCAGTATTTGGTAATATTCATTACGTGTGTTGGTGTATGTGGCCATGAATATTTCGAAAGAAATGTTAGGCATCTTTCATGAGCAATATAATTCATAGTAGAAAATCTTGTAGCTTCTCTGAAAAAAGATAAAAAAAAATACCATAATAACTATTGATGTTAGTCATTACCTAACCTAATTCAATTCCTGCAAAACATTCATAATTTGTAGAAAATAAGCATTATGACTCAAATACCCTTAACCGGGCTATTGCATTGCGTTCTTTTGGTTGCAGTTTATAAATTGGGATATCTTTTTGCACTTATTTGTCTTTAGTGAACTTTTTTGAACTTTGAGTTAAAATATTTTACTTTTTATTTCCGTCAAGACTAGATGATAAGCCAATTTTGATAGGATTTTTTTGACAAATTTTGGCTTACTTTGGTCTTAGTGAACTTTTTAAAGATGAAAACAAGCAGAATTTTTTTTTTCTTTGACGTACGATTAGTTTTTCTTATATGATTTTCATTTCTCCCTAAGAGAGATGGTTTTTGTTTAATTGGTCTACTCTTACTGCAGGCAACAGTTAATCGATCAAAGGGAAATCGAATTGAGATATCAAAAGCCGATGTTATTCAGAAAAGTTCATACTGCAGGGTTTCAGGCATTTGCAGGCCTTGTAATTCCCAGCATGGTGGACGAAAATGATTTAGGAGCTCTATTAATTGGAGAAAGTATCATAATGGCTAGTGGATTATTTTTAAATTCTAGTGCAGGTCGCGACATGGATCTTCTTGAATTATCAGCATATGGCAATGTCAGACGCGGACAAGACTCCAAGGGATGTAAGATTCAGTGACATCTTAAGGGTGACAATTTAAGAGCTTAAAATCAATTTTGTGGAGAATTTAACAATCATCTACCAGTGATGCCTTGTGAGATTGCTGACTGATAAATAATCTCTCTCTCTCTCTCTCTCTCTCTCTCTCTCTCACTATCTCTCAATAATATCAGTGCTCAGTGTGTGTAGTGGTGGCCTCCGGGCCCAACCTGTCTAGCCTAGCTTGATATTTTTAGGGCTTGGAATCAGTATTTTGGCCCAAAGGGCCAGTGGGTTGCAAGAACATGGTCCTGTTGCTTAGTTTGGTTTTGCTTAGTTTTTGAAAACCGTTTTTGAGTTTTTTTTGTATTTTTTTCATCTTTAGTGAAACTTTTTAATATTTTAATAAACTTTTTTAGATACATCCAATCTAAATAGACTTTGAAGTAAAATATTTGTAAAAAAATCTAATATTTTTTTTAATGAAATACAAACAAACATGGAAAGTATCTCTCTCTTTTTTTAAATATATATTTTTTCACAAATATGTTACTTTTTAAGTGCATGTAAATTAAATGAATTTAAAAAGTTTTTAAAAATAATTAAAATATAAAAAGAAAAAGTTTACTTAAAAAAAAAAATTACAAAAAATCTCAACAACAAGAGTTTGAGTCTAAAAAGCCAAACAGACTAATGTCAACTGAACTCCCAACCCTCATCACACTGATGAGGGATAGTTTACTTTATTTTACAATTATATATATATTCTCAACTTTTGCATGGGTTTATTTTGCAATTATATATTTTACACTTAAGATTTATTTAACTTCATCATTAAAGTTGAAACTCATAGCATATACTGATTCCAAAATAATATACCGATTTCAAAATAATAATATCGTGAAAAAAGTAAGAGGGATGTGATGCACATCACTTAAAAAATAAATAAATATTATGCACAACATGTGTGTCGCATCTAATTCATTTTTAAAGTACGATTAATTTCTTATAATGTTTTCAGCATGTCTAAATTTCAAATTAATAATATGGCGGAGAAAGTAAAAGGATATAATGCACATCTATTCAAATAAATAATAATGAATTGATTAAATATAATACAAATAGCGTGTGGCATAACAAATTCATATTTAACAATAATGAATTAAGTAAATATAATACAGATAGTGTGTGACATAACAAATTCATATTTAACGTACAATTAATTTTTTATAAAATTCTTTCAAAATTCTAAAATATAATTGCTTTTGCTTTCTTAACAACCCTTTATTTTAGGGATAATTATTCAGTAATCTCGGAACATGAACACTTGGTATTCTATAGTATAATAATTGGTGGTGAATAGGTGGGGTATTGTGTTGGGTGATTGGAAAACATGAGGGGACATATTGAATGATGATTGGTTAAGGAATACAGACCTGTGGTACTCTGGGAATATTTAATAATTTTCCTTATTTTAGGGGTGTTTGGATAGTCAACTTTCAGCTTGAAAAAAATTAAAAAATTAAAAAGTTAAAAAATTATTAAATTATCATTTGTCATCAGCTAAAAAAGTTAAATATCACATTAATTTTTTCATTAAAAAAAAAATATATTAAACATTTTAAAACATAGTCACTTTTTTAATTCCTAAAAGAGTCAAATATATATACAAAACTATAAATGTTTGGGAAAGAAAAAAATAGCCAAATTTAGGCTAAAAATCACAAAAAGACAAAATAGGCTAAAATAGCTAATAAGACAAAATATCACATCAAACCCATAATCATTTCACTTTTTCTCTCACAAACATCACATCCAACCACAAAAAAATCTAATCATCTTCCCAAACACAAAAATTTTAGCCTACTTAAAATAGCCAAAAACGAAAATAACCTACTAAAATAGCCACTTCCCAACCGAGGCCTAAAAAAAAGAAAAAACTCCAAACCCTCAGTCTTTTGATTGAGTGTATATATATATATATACATATATATGTTTTTTGAACAAATCTTTTGATTGAGTTTGTTAAAGGAAATTGACTTTTGGTGCTCAAGTTGATAACCTTATTGTCTTCTTTTTACACTCTTTTTATTAGTTCCATTATGTTTTTTTCCTTAATCTTAGGTCTTCTCAGTCCCCAAACAAAAAAAAAAGTTGGAAGGTTCATTGCATCTTTTCTCTACCTTTTTTTGTTTTTGCCCCTCAGGAAAGTGATGGTTTTGCATCCACACTTTCTCATCTCATATGCTTTTCCATCGAAAACAAATTTTCTTTCCTTGTTTTTTTTGAGTCACTTACACACGAGGAAACTATCTATGGTGTCTCATTTTGATCATGCTTAACTGTCTTATAATGGTCATTTGGTTAGGGAATTGGATTCATGTTTTTCACAAAGCTAATGATTATGAGATTGGAAGCTTAAGTAATGTTTTTTTATTTTATTTTATTTTTATTATTAAGAAAAATTATTTATAAGTCCTATTAGGGAGACTTATGCTACATATGGTCCTACTAAAAAATTTATGTTTCCATAAATCTTACGTGAAGTTTGTTGACACATTTACTCTAAATATTAGTTGTTAATATCATAAATAATGGTAAAACCATATATAGGAAATTGAATGTTACCATAGATTAAATTTGTGAAACGTAACGTGACACCTACATAAACGTAACATAACGTGACCATATCAGATGGAACATTACATAAACGTAACGTGACATGACACCTACATAAACGTAACGTAACGTGACACCTACATAAACGTAATGTAACGTGATACCTATATAAATGTAACGTAATGTGACATCTACATAAACGTAACGTAACATGATACCTACATAAACGTAACGTGACATCTACATAAACGTAACGCAACGTGCCACGTTACGTTTCGCAAACTTACTAGGTTTTTGATTTTTTTAATTGAATGTGAAAATGTTACTTTCTATGGTAATATTCAATTTCCTATATGTGGTTTTGCCATTATAGTGTATAATAGTATATTAATACAATTTATTTACAACTCATAGGATCTTGTGGAATACATTCCTATCTAAATAGGACTTGAGACTCTATAAAAAATTACACAAAACTTAACATAACATAAGTGTCCGAAATAGGACTTATAAATAAGTCTCCCTTATTATTATAGATTGAAGAGGCTTAAAAACCAAAGATACAGAACACAGCAAACACTAGCTAAAAAAAACAAGGGCTTCATACAACACAAGCTGAGCCAAAGAAGGTGGCACCTCATCCATTCAAATAGCTTGGTCTTCAAGATTCACTGCCATTTGAGTGAGGCAGTCCGCTACCGAATTGCCTTGACGTTTCACATGTAGTATCGTCGACTGATCAAAATGCCGAAGACCATCTCGAATAGAGTTCACAGTATGGCCATAACATGCGAAGCATTTAGAAGATGAATTGGAGGCAGTGACAATACTCAACGAATCCCCTTCAAAATGCACTCGACAGAGCACCAGATCACGAGCAAAGACAACTGCACCATACGTGGCAAGAGCTTCCAAGCTATCAACGTTAATTAGGCTCGCAATCTTCCTAAACAAAGCATCAATAACGTCCCTACGGTAGTCACGAACCACGACCCCTATACCTATAGCCTTATGCGTCTTAAACACAGCTCCATCCAGATTGACTTTGTAGAAATCCATAAGGGGAGGACACCATTGTAACAAATAAGAAGGGACTTGAGGCATCACAACAAGGGATTGAGCAGAGCGAAATTGATGGAGGTACTCCACAGCAGTGCTAGCAATGTCCCCACAAGAACGACATGTACCATTGAATAGAATGGGATTTTAATTATTCCAAATACTCCACCACGTAACCAAGAAGAGAGCAAACCCATCATCATCCTAAACTATACTTCGATCAATAACCCAGTTCCAGAAATTCGAAATACATTGAGAAGCCATCGGCACATCTAAATTGATCGAATCCCAAAATTCGCAAGCTTAGCCACATAGCATTCAAGAAAATAATGGGAGGTAGATTGCACCGTTGACCCAATAATTTTAATCTTGCTCGGAACTTTGGCGCACCACAACCTTAGCCAAAAAGCTTTAGCTTAAGCATTACGATCAGATGATGATTCTGCATTCAAACCCTCCCTGAGAGTCATTTCAAGATGATATGCTGACTGAACCAAAAACACTCCATTATTGGTGAAATGCCGGACCAACACATCAACATCAGGCTGCAGGGGCAATGCAATAGATGCAATAAGTTGACTCTCAGATTTTGGAAAACAATTGTTAAGCACAAATATTTTCCATTGACTAACATGCCCATCAATAAGATCAGTCACCAAAGCATCATCTGGCAAAAATTGAGGGGGTAGAAAGTTTTAAACGAAAATGGTTGTGAAATCCATTTATCCTTCCAAACACGGGCTCAGCGACCATTACCAATCCATTAACGCAAACCCGATTCAAGGAGAGGTCGAGCCTTCCAAATACAGCACCAAGTGTAACATGGATTGTGACCCAATTCAGCATCAAGAACCGTTCCATTGGGATAGTATTTCGCCCTCAAAACTTGACCGATCAACGTGTTGGATGAACGCAATAACCGCAAGCTCTATTTAGCAAGCATAGCTCGATTAAAAGCAAACAAATTGCGAAACCTATCCCACATTCCCATTTAGATTTGCACAAGTGATTTCAATTCTTCCAATGGATTTTACGTCGATTATCAGATTGACCCCACCAAAATCGCCCAATGAGAGAGTCAATATCACGACACAAACCATTAGGAAAGCTCAAAGCATGACATAACATAGGTTGGGATTGTAACAATCCCGACCTATGATTAACCGATAAACCATGATAAGTAATTAAGATGAAATTTTGCATTAAATGCATGTGTATGACATTATTTATGTTTATATATGTTTGCTGTGAAAATATCTGTTCATGTTTCTGTTTGGTTCTGTGAATTGAAGGCCTTATTGGCATCTGAACATGAATTGATTTGGTTTATGTGTTATATGAGATTTTTAAAATTTTATGGTAGGTTTAATTAAAATTCAATTCGGAACGAATTAATTAGAATAAAATAAGGATACTTGATTAATCTTAAGCCAATTAATTAATATTACCTAAGTGGCCTATATAAGGTCAATATAACTCTTGAATTCTCTTACTCATCACTTCATTTTGCACTCTTGAGATCAAAACATGAGGGAGAGTGAGAGGCTAAGAAGCTTGAGATCAAACTTGAAGCAGAGACAGACATTGCTAGAGAACTTGGAGGTTAGCTTGGAACTTCAAACAATTAACTATTTAGAGTATAATTGATCATCTAAGGTAAGAATTCGACCTTGTAACTTTGGAGTTGAATCACTTAGCACATGAATCCAAAGAATTAAGTTGT